TGAGTCTGTAAAATGCTTTTTGAGAAACAGGTTCCTCATTCCAGACCCAACGATGCAATCGACACCTTCGTGACATTCTGCCCGTATAAGCCAGACGTGGCGAGCTGTTCGGGGCTGCGAGATTTGGAGCTTTAGCCCCTCGTATGCCGCCAGCCTTTAATAAATGACTCCACGATCGGACTTTTTGAGGCGTCCTTTGTAAGATGGGGTACACTACAAGCACCGGGGTCTCTAGGAGGAACCAACCCTGCCCACACCTTGATTTTACCCCACGAGACTCAGTTTGGACACCTGATCCATCACCTCCAAGGGTAACAACACATTCGTGTGGTTTTAAGCTACCAAGTTTATTTATTTATTTTTATTTTTTATTTTTTAAATATATATTTTATTGATTTTTAACAGAGTTTCAGAAAGGGAGAGAGATAGAGAGCTAGAAACATCGATGAGAGAGAAACATCGACCAGCTGCCTCTTGCACACCCCCTACTGGGGATGTGCCCGCAACCAATGTACATGCCCTTGACCGGACTCGAACCCGGGACCCTTCAGTCCGCAGACTGACGCTCTACCACTGAGCCAAACCGGCTTCGGCTATTTATTTATTTTTAATATATATTTTGTTGATTTTACACAGAGAGGAATTGAGAGGGATAGAGAGTTAGAAACGTCGATGAGAGAGAAACATCACCAGCTGCCTCTTGCACACCCCCCACCGGGGATGTGCCCGCAACCAAGGTACATGCCCTTGACCGGAATCGAACCCAGGACCCTTCAGTCCGCAGGCCGACACTCTATCCACTGAGCCAAACCGGTCTCTAAGCCACCAAGTTTAAATGTCCACCCTGGGGCGGCTCTCGGGCGGGATCCATACCACGCCCTACGAAGTGCTTTATGGATATTCACCCATTTAATGCTCAGGACAACCATAGGCAGCAGGGGCTGCTGTTCCCATTTGATCGCAGAGGAAACGGGCCCAGAAAGGCTAAGCCAGCAGCCCCAGGTCACACAGCGGGCTGGGGGCCCGGAGGAGGGAGTCCGCCACGTCTGTCCCGCCCACTCCAGGCGGCGGGGAGGCCTCTCTGATCTGAAGAGGTCCTGGATTTGGGGTCCTGTCTGCCCTCCCTACCGGAAGTGAGCTCGGACTTCCTCTGACGTCCGTCCGGAGGCATTTTAAGAACCTGCGGATTAGCAGAAACCACAGGCAGCATAATCTTACCTATCTCATAGCAATATGTTTGCTGATACAAGGAAAACAAAGGGAAATTTTTTTTTTTTAATGGAACTACATAAAATAAAATAAAAAGATTCTGCACTGCAAAAGAAACTATCAACAAAACATGGGAGAATGTATTTGGCAATGATATATCAGATAAATGGTTAATTTCTAAAATATACAAGGAACTCATACAAGTTAACAAAAGGAAGACAAACAATCCAATTAAAAAATAGGCAAAAGAGCTAAATAGATACTTCTCCAAAGTGGACAAAAAGATATATTACTTTTATTCATTCATCCATTAACAAATATTTATTGAACACTTATTCTGTATTGGCTGGCCACTATATTAAATAAATAATATATGCCAAAAAAAAAAAAAAAAAGAATCTGCGGATTGAAGGAGGGCGGAATGGGTCCCAGATGACCACACCCTTTGGACCGCAGTCCTCCTGCTGAGCTTTGGCAGAGAGGAGCCAGCAGAACCCGCTCACGGCGGAGCACGGGCGCCACCAGGCGGCGAGTGTAAGACAGCGCGGCCCGCAACCCCGAAGTCGTTGCTTTAGGACCCCACGCGGCTCTTTGGCCCTTGAGCGTGGCTCTTCCACACAATACCACGGCCTGGGCGAGTCTTTGTTGAAGAAGTGACATTAGAAGAAGTTTAAGTTTTGCCGAAACCGGTGTGGCTCAGTGGTAGAGCGTCGGTCTGTGGATTGAAAGGTCCCGGGTTCGATTGCGGTCAAGGGCATGTACCTAGGTTGCAGGTACATCCCCAGGAGGGGGTGTGCAAGAGGCAGCTGATGTTTCTCTCTCATCGACGTTTCTAGCTCTCTATCCCTCTCTCCTCCTCTTTGTAAAAAACCAATAAAATATATTTTTTAAAAAAGTTTGTTTTAAAATTTTGGCTCTCCAAAAAAATTTCAATCGTCGTACCGTTATTTGGCTCCGTGGACTAAGGAGTTTGCGGACCCTGGCCCCAGGGGGCTTCTTCCTGTTCCTGGCGGTTTCCGCATCCCTGGGCTCATGGCCACATCACTCCAATCTCCGCTGCCTCCTTTCCTCTCTGTGTTCCTTCTCTTACAAGGACCTTTGTCATTCCACTCAGCGCTCCTACCTGCCCTTTTCCAAATAGGACACATTCATAGATCCTGGGAGTTAGGGTTGTGGGCAGATCTTCTGAGGGGTCACCAACCCACTGCAGACCCCCGAAGGCTAACGGATCACGGGTGGCCAAGAGTCACACTCATCATTCCCCGCCCCCATTTCATGGAATTGCAAGTGTCAACAACTAATTGGGGAGCTGCAATGGGCAGGGGTTTCCAGGGGGGGGGGCGGAGGGGGGAAGAGGGGTTGGAAACATCTGGAACTAGCGAGGTGAAGGTTGCACAACATTGCAAATGCACTCGATACCACTGCATTGTTCACCTTCACAGTGGCTCTTCGTCCACAGCTAACAAAGCTTACTGCGTGTGAACAGAGATAATGCACGTTAAGTGCTTAAAATAGCGCTTAGGACATGGAGAACCCTCAGTAGCTGTAGGGCAGCGTGCCCACCACGGCTGCCAGCCCAGCTCCCACTGACCTCCCAATGACCCGGGAGGCGTCAACCAGACAGGGGTTCCTCTTCCTGGGGCACCCACAACTTTTTAAAAATATATATATATATTTTATTGATTTTTTACAGAGAGGAAGAGAGGGATAGAAAGTTAGAAACATTGATGATGAGAGAGAAACATTGATCAGCTGCCTCCTGCACACCCCCCACTGGGGATGTGCCTGCAATCAAGGTACATGCCACTGACCGGAATCGAACCTAGAACCTTCCAGTCCGCAGGCCGATGCTCTATCCACTGAGCCACACGGGTTTCGGCCACCCCACAATTCTTGCTGCAGCTGCCCCTTCCTTCGTGTTCTGGTGTCACCTTTTTTTGGTGTGTGTGTATGACAAGGACCATGAGGAGCTAGCACCATTGGCAATCCTTTCTTTTTTTTAAAAAAAATTTCTTTATTAAGGTATCACATATTTGTCCTCATCCCCCATTCACATCCAAAACCCCTCCCCATGTATGTCTCCATCCCCCCCCCCCCCGGCAATCCTTTTTTTTACCTAGTAATTGGTGGTCTGAATCTAAAAGGGGTGTTGCATCATTTTTAAAAAATATGTTTTTTATTTCAGAGAGGAAGAGAGAGGGATAGAAACATCAATAATGAGAGAATCATTGATCGGCTGCCTCCTATACACCCCCTACTGGGGATCCAGCCTGAAACTCAGGCATGTGCCCTTGACCGGAATCAAACCCGGGACCTTTCAGTCCTCAGGCCAATGCTCTACCAACGGAGCCAGGACTGTTGCATCACTATCAGTTCAGTGAGTCCCGTCATGGCCTTGGCCGTGCACCAAGTCCTGACCGTAAGTATTATGCCATTTCTTTTTTTGTTTGTTAATCCTCACCCAAGGATGCTTTCAGAGAGAGGGAGGAGAGAAAGAGAAACACAGATGTGAGAGACACATTGATTGGTTGCCTCCTGAATGTGTGACCAGGGTCATGAATGTAACCCTTGAATACACCCTGGACTGGGAATCGGGAATCGAACCATCGACCTTTCGGTGCATGCATGGTAACTCTAACCCCTGAGCCAGGGCTCTCTTTTTGTACATTTTTATTTGATTTTTTTTAAAAGAGAGAAACATCGATTTGTTGCTCCACTTACTTATGCATTCAGTGGTTGATTCTTGTGTGTATCCTGACCAGGGATCCAACAGAAACCTTGGGGTATTGGATAACACTAACCAACTGAGCTACCCAGCCAGGGCTGTTATTTCTTCTTCCTCCTCCTCCTCCTCTTCTTCTTCTTCTAAATAATATATTTTATTGACTTTTTTACGTAGAGGAAGGAGAGGGATAGAGAACCAGAAACATCGATGAGAGAGAAACATTGATCAGCTGCCTCCTGCACACCCTCCACTGGGAATGTGCCTGCAACCAAGGCACATGCCCTTGACCGGAATCGAACCCGGGACCCTTCAGTCCGCAGGCCGATGCTCCAACCACTGAGCCAAACCAGTCAGGGTCAGGACTGTTATTTCTATTACCATCATTTTTGTCTGTGACCTAAGACTATCCTCTCTGCAACTTTTCTCAAAGACCAGACACACAGACTGGAGGAAATTCTTCATTTTATTTGCTCCCCAACCCCCCAAGGATCACTCCCTGCCCGCCCTCACCTAGACCCAGCCCAGCCCCAGCCATTTCACAGAACACTGCGTTCTTCCCAGAGCTAAACGGACACCCAGCCACCAACTACGGCCACCCCAGCCCTGCCGGCCTCCCCACCCGCCCCCACAGCCACGGGCACTGAGCCGGCTCCCTGCACAGATGTCTTTCCCTGGGTCACCTGGCTTGCTTTTTGTGCTTAATCACATGGGTGTGATTCTTAAAACCCTCCCTGACCTTGCCCCAGAGGGCTCTCCTGTCCTCATCGGCACTCACTCGGCACGGCTTCCCGGCCTCACTGCCCTGCGGGAGGATCCGATCCTGAGCTCCCCGGGGCCCCATCCCTCAGCTGTCACCTGGGAAGTGCTGACACTGACTAAGGCCAGACAGAGGGGAGCAAAACCAGAAATGGACAAGGACACAAGGATAAAAGGAGAGAGAATGGGAGGGGGGGGGGAAGAGATGGGAAGAGGCTAGAGGCAGAGGGATGAGAGAGGGACCCTCCCTCCTCAGCCCCAGAAACAGAGGTGGAGACCAGCGCCCCCTAGAGGCCAGAGCCCTGCCCGTCTAGCTGCTGTGGGTCCGCTGGCTTCGGGCCTTGTACACCTCAATGAGCAGGTCCTTGACATACTGGATCTCCCGCTCCACGGACTCGGCCCTCTCCCTCAGCTCGCGGTTCCGTGCCTCTAGCCCCTGGCACTGGCCCTCCAGCGCCTCCCCCTCTGCCCGCTTCCTCTGGCGGTACCTGAGGGCCGCCGACTTGTTCTGGTCTCTCTTCTTTTGCTTGCGGTCCCCTCGAGTGGTGGTGGCAGGATTGGGGTAGGGGGCCGGGCGAGAGGGGGGAGGCGGCAGAGGAGGAGGGGGCTCCTGTGCTGGGGGAAGGGGTGCCAACCCCGCATCCCCCTGCCCAGCCTCGTTGCGGCAGTACATGACCAGCAGGTCGAGGGTATCCAGGGCAGGGGGCTGGGGGAGGTCGAAGGTGGGCAGGGGGAGGGGAAGGGGGGGTGCTGGTGGTGGCGGTGGTGGCAGCGGCAGTGGCGGTGGGGAGGACGGTGGAAGAAGTGGACCATCGAGGAAGAAGTCTTCCATCTGCTCCAGCTCCTTCTTGAGGAGGGAGGCCATGGCTTCCAGGTCAGGTGGGGGCGGGGAAGGCGGGGGGAGGGCACCGGAGGGGAAGGGGGGCTCCAAAGGGAGGAGGGCTGTGAAGTCAACCCGCTCAGTCATCCAGTCCGAGAAGCCATCACCTGGAAGAGTGGAGAAGGACAAGTTCCCTGAGTTCTGGGTCTCCCACCCAACGGGGTGCTCACTTATCTCTGCTCCATCCATCTCACCCACGGAGTTAATCCTCCAACAAGCTCCATCCGTCTACCAGCTGGTCAAGGAATCATCAAACCAGTCCACGAACCAACGGGTAAATCAAACATCTAACTAGCTGACGGACCAACCCATCAACTAAGTGAATCAGTCACTCAACTCTCCCAATCAACCAATTAATGAGCCAGTCAACCAACCAATGATCCAAACAACAAAAGAGTCAACCAGCCATTTTGTAACCATCCCAACATCCTCTTTATGGATTACTCTCTATCTGTGGTTTCTCTGATTTACTCTGCAGTTCCATCTTAAAAAGCAAACTAGATCCTTGTTTCATCTTCCATCCATTCATTGCGGAAGACCCACCAGGTTCCAGGCATGTGGGGCACACGAATGAAGTGATTCCTGCCTCAGGGCCTTTGCATATGCTGTTCTCTCCACCCGGAAAGCTCTTCGCTTGGGTCTTATCGTGGCTCATTCCTTCTCAGCCTTGAAGCCTCAGCCAAAATGTCACCTACTTGGGCAAGGGTTTCATGGCGACCCACTCTGAACAAGGTCCCCGGTGGCGGTTTTTTTTAGCTCACTACTAAGCGTTTCCCACGTACCCCACAACCTCATTTTATTCCTCTGGTCTATCTCTCCACTAGAGTGTGAGCTTGATTCTTTCCAAAAATTGGGACTTTTTTAAAAAATGCGGGACAAATTGTTAAACATCGGGACTGTCCCGCCAAAAGTGGGACGTCTGTCACCTTACTCTAGGAGGGCGGGGATCACGTCAGCCTTATTCCCAGTTACATCCCCAGCACTTAAAACATATAACAGGCACTCAATAATGACCGATCCAATTAATAAATAAATGAACTCTTCTTCCTCCTACCCTGTCCCCCCTCCCCCGTCCCAGTTCCCCCCACCTCCACTCTCCACCTGTCCTTACCTGTCAGGGGCTCTCCCCCCCCTGGAAGCCCGCCCTCCAGGGCTCCCCCAAGGACCTCATAGGGGCCTAGGGGGGCAGGGGCCAGGGGGAGTTTCCCATAGTCTACGAGCCAGCCCAGCCCGCTAGCTGGGAGCAGGGCCCTGTCCAGCTCCAGCCCCAGGGTCGCCAGGAGTGACATGGCTGCAGCACGGGCGCTGGGCACGGGTGGCGGTGAAGGAGGCTGCACCAGCAGCTGGGAGGAGGCTCTGCAGGCTGCTCAGCTGGGCGAAGACAGGCACCAGGGCGAAAGTGGAGGACCTACACGTGAGACAAAAGTAGGTGGGGGTCATAGGTCAGCTTCACTCACAGGGAAACCAAGCCACACCCATGGCCCCGGGGTCCTCTCTCCAGCTTCCAACTGGGATTGGGGCTACACATCGCCCTCTCAGCATCCTAAATCTGCCCCTTCCCCAAATCCCTGAGCCCTACTGTAGTACCATAAATCAGTGGGCGAGATTTAATGAGCCAATTAATCAGGAGACGTTTATTTCTCGAGGCCCAGAGGGAGGCGACTCTTCCAAATCTCTGAGCAACACTTACAGGAAGTCTCCCGTTTTCGAGCCTCTTTGTTTGCAGGGATTACCAAGGGCTCTGTGTGAGTTAATTGTTACAGGCAGGTGTAACCTTGAATACGTCATGAGTTAGCACGTGGCGTAAGAATATGGGAAGTATTATCAGTATTAATCCATATTAGTCTGTTACATCGGATGGCTAGTTTGCAAGGTCAGGCAGTTACGTTTATCTTTTTCTATTATTTGCACTAAAAACAAAGTCATTTCATAGAATAAGAGACAATCTTAAAGTGACAGAGTTGACAATGGCAGAGTTTAGAGGACTGGGGACTATCTAACAACAGTAGAGAATTTCAAACAGCAGTTTTATTTTTTAAAATATATTTTATTGATTTTTTACAGATAGGAAGGGAGAGGGATAGAGTTGGAAACATTGGCTCAAACAGCAGTTGTATACAAGACGAAGGTTACTATGCTTCACTACCACTCCCAAGGGAATTCTCTTGGTGCCTGTCTCCAAAATCCCAAGACCCAATCCTTCCAATACAGAAATCTAACGGTCTCCCAGGGGAATTTCCTTTAGCCACTCCCACGCACACCATAATATTCCACCTTAAAAGAACTCAATGGGGGAGGGGGACAGGTGAAGGCATATGCTAGGGGATAAGGGAGGCTGGGGGGAGGTCAAGGATGGAAAAAAGGAGACATATGTATTATTTGTAATGCTTAAGAAATGTTTTTAAAAAAACAAAAAACCTCAATCCCAGGGGAATTTTCTTCCAGTCACATTCCTCCTTCTCAAACATTTCTTTTAGGCCCCACTCTCTCCCTAGGTTCCATCCCAAATCAATTCCCAGGGGAATTCCCCGTTTCCCTCCCCTTACCCCCCTCAATATTATCCATTCGCATCCCATCCTTCCCTTTTAGAACTTTGCAGCGACCTCCATTGTCCCTCTAAGTCCCGCCCCTCTGTTTATCTTAGCCCCGCCCCTCCCCGATGGTTCCCCAGAGGCCCCGCCTCTTCCTCCAATCGGAACCCCAACCCTCTTCCCCACGTTCGCTTAGCCCCGCCCCTCACAATGGCTCCCGTAAGCCCCTCCCTTCGCGACGGCCGTGACCCTAGCTCCACCCCATTCGTAACGGGTTGTCTCCAAGCCCCGCTTTCCACCCGTTAAACCAGCTCCCGCCCCAGCAGATGCCTGAATAAAAAGGAGGGCAGCCGTGCTGTACGGTTAAGCAATGTGGTGCAGGGAAGGCGGAGGGGACCGGCGAACAGCCTCCGCACACACACACACACACCCCGCCATGCGTCCACACTAGGCTTTCTCGCCGAACGCCAAAGCGCATGCGTCGCCCCTGAAGCGGTCCTAAGACTCTTAACGCTTCCGCCCTCCTGGGGGCTAGTGCGCACGCGCAGCTGCTTACTGCCGGCCCTTGGCGCAGAAATACGGGTTCTGGTGCGCTAGTGCGCATGAGCAACGGCGCCCGGACAGATTCTTTCCAGAATAACAAAGTAAAACTCTCTCTGGAGGCTAGTACGCCGGTGCAACCGCACGTGGGCCGTCTTTAATCGCCAACATTCTCTGTAAGAACCCCCGCCCCCCTTCCCCACCATTGGGCCGAGTGCGCATGCTCGGCAGCGCGCCGACGCGCGAGTTCCCTCTTCTGCGCCTGCGCGACCGTGATCCCTCACGCTCGCCTCCCCCCTCCCTTCTCCGGCCTAGTCGTGAAGGCCGCGAGCTTCGAAAGGGCGGGAAAGGCAGTTGGAGCAGGAGGGACGAGCGGTTACTCACTCCATGGCTGCGGAAAAGAGAGGCAGCAGCGGCCTCGGCTGAAGAGAGACGGCGGGAGCGGAGAGCGCAGGCGCGGTAAGCGTGGAGGCGGGCCGGGGGCACGGAGGGGTCGCGGCTACAGAGCCATGGCGGGGCTACGCGGGCGGAGACGGTGTCGCGGCAGCGCGGGGAGAGATCGTGAGCTGACGTGACCTGAGGATGGGGAATGAGGCGGCCCCGGGGACTAGGGACAGATATACCGGGGGCGGCGCAGCACGCGGCACGCCGGATCCTTCCGCGCCCCGCCCCGGCGGGGCCCCAACCGGCGGCGGCGGCGGCGGGCGGGCCTGGCCCCCTCCTCTCGGGGCTCCGGCCCCATCCTCCTTTGGACCCCAAGAGTTCGGTCCTGTCCTTTCTCCGGCCTAGGATCCAACTCAACTCCCTTTTTCTTCCAACCCCGAGGGTTCTGGCCCTCCTTTCCCCGTGGCTCTGAGGTCCGGCCCCTTCCCTCTGCGAGTCCGGTCTTCTGCTCTCTCGGACCCAGCGGCCTGGTTTCCTCCTCCCTGAGACCAGCGCTGGCTCATTTGTGGTTTACTTCCCTTTGCTTCACGGGTTTCCGGCCGCCACATGCTGGCGTCTGCATGCCCCGACTTACATCTCACCCCGAGGACCCTTTTGGTGGGTTAGCCCCGCGGGAGGCACAGACCTGCCGTGGTTTGGCCTTGGGAAAATAACTGAAATCCTCGGGCCTCAAATAGGTGGGGAACTGCCTGTAAAATGAGAATAAGCAACTGTCCCCGAGGCGGTGGTTTGTGAGATTCAAATAAGTTGATGCTGCGGGAGCCCCAGGCACAGAGCCCCGCTCATACATGTCTGCTCCACGTTTTTTGTTATCAATGGGAACTCGGGCCCCCACTCTCACCCCACCCCCACCGCTGTAAGAACCCCAGGCACTTGTTAATCCTTACCCGAGGATATTCTTTCCCATTGATTTTTAGACAGGGTGGGAGGGGGAAGAGAGAGAGAGAGACATCATTGTGAGATAGACACATGGAATGATTGCCTCCCACCCCAGTCCCAACCTGGGCTGGGAATCAAGCCTGGGACCCTTCTGTGCTGGACCAGCATTCTACCCACTGAGCCACACAGGCCAGGCAGGGCAAGAGCCTCAGGCACTTGACTAACCAATGCCTGCTAATAGGCCCTCCTTTTTTTTTTTTTTTTTTTTTTAAATATATATTTTGAGGTTTTACAGAGAGGGATAGAAGGTAGAAACATCAATGAGACAGAAACATAGACCAACTGCCTCTTGCACACCCCACACTGGGGATGTGCCCGCAACCAAGGTACGTGCCCTTGACTGGAATCGAACCCGGCACCCTTCAGTCCGCAGGTCCATGCCCTATCCACTGAGCCACACCAGTTTCGGCTAATAGGCCCTTCTTGTGTGTTAGCCAGTTTAAGGTGGCAGTTTTCAGCCATCCCACTGTCACCCGTTCCAAATGTTGGGTGTTCAGCCCCATCCTGACCCACAGATGAGGGAATCAGGCATCATTGCCCCCACTCCACCCTTTTCACCCCCCACTGCCCACCTTCCTTAGCCCTGTCCCCAGCACTGCTCTCAGGCCAGTTGGTTCGTTCTTCTGCCCGCGCGCCCCACTTCTGAGATGTCCCCCACTGGCTTAGTCTCACAGCCCTGCCCAAAACGGGGAGATCTGTACCTCCATTTGTAACGGGAGCGTCCTCGCCGTTCCTTCCCCGTGAGCTGGGCCCTCCGCCATCCCAAGTGGATGTTGGTCTTTCCTCTGCGGCAGTACGGGACTGAATCAAAAATCCAGAGCGGTGAGGTGGGGCGACCCTAATCCTGAGAGTTATGTGGGGAATAAAGACATGCAGGCTCCCCAGCCCCTTCTCTGAACATTCGGGCTCTGACCACTTTCCCGTAGGGCACTTCCTGCCCCTCTGCCAGTGTGTGAGCACTGGCTCGATATTTCCTTGAGTTGGTAGAGGCTGCACTAGTGTCTAGACATCACTGAGTGGCAGTTAAGATCATAGATCTGGGACAGGTTGTTCGGGTTCGAACTTTGGATGCACCCCACTTACTAGCTGTGTGACACTGGCGATTCCCCTTACTTCCCCAGGTCTTAGATTCCTCCTGGCTTAAGGCGGGAGCCTGGGGTGGGGGCATTAATAGTATCTTAGACTAGTGCCTGACACACAGGGGCTGGTATTATTATTATTGGGGTGGTATGTTTTCTCTTCATTGCTAAGCAGTTAGGGCCTTGAAACTATGACTGGTGCCCTGGCCGATGTGGTTCGTTGGAAAGTGTCAGCCTAGACACTGAAGAGTCTTGGGTTCAATTCTCAGGTAATGTCACATACCTGTGATGCAGGTTCGATCCCTGGATCCCATTGGGCTGCATGCAGGAAGCAACCAATCAATGTGTCTCTCACAGTGAATCTTCTCTCTCTCTCTCTCTCTCTCTCTCTCTCTCTCTCTCTCTCTCTCACACACACACACACACACACACACACCTGTGTGCTTCTGAGAGCTTCTAGGTTATGGGCTGGAACTAGGTAGAGGTTTTGTTGTGTTTTTGTTGTTGTTTTTACTTTTTATTTGGAAATGACTTTAGGTTTATAGAAAAGTCACAAAAATGATAGTACAACCCTAGCCAGTTTGGCTCAGTGGGTTGGATTAAAGGGTCCCAGGTTCAATCCCCAGCCCTGCTTAAAGACTGGAGGTGGCCAAAACCGGTTTGGCTCAGTGGATAGAGTGTCAGCCTGCGGACTAAAAGGTTTGATTCCGGTCAAGGGCACGTACCTTGGTTGCGGGCACATCCCCAGTGGAGGGT